TTTAGCGCTTGCAGGTTTGTGTCAGCCTCAGGGGACCTCAGTGGGAGCATTGCGTTGGCGCTCAATGGTCGTGATAACAAGACGCGGTCGTGACGAGGCAGCTTCTGATGAGAGCAGCTTTTGTGGGGTGGCGTGATCAGAAGCAGCTGTCCGATGTACGTTGCAAGGAGAACCTGCTGAAGGCAGAGCATGATGATTCGTGCCGTGAGCATAAGTGCAAACCTTTGTCATTGATTCAGGCATGGAGTTCACATGGAGGGCGCCATTTGTCGTCGAGGCAAGTGCTCCGGATGGAAGCACGCTTAGTTGTGAACTGTTTTTGCTTAGTCGTAACGTAACTTTTGCCATCAGCATTTGCGGTTTGTCACCACTTGGGTTTTTTGGAGGCTTCAAGCCTTGCAATTTACAGCATTCGGAAGGTTTGGGGTCTAAAGAGAATTACCAGGGTTCAGGGTGCACGCTTAGTTAAACCACTGCCCCAACTGAATGCGAGGGTCAAGATGTTTGAGGGTTTCGGGTTGGTGTGTTCGCCAGGGTTTAAGGGTTTAGGGTCTGTGGGGGAGTTATGGGTTTAGGTTTAGGGTTTAGAGGTTTGTGGGTTTAGGGTTTAGGGTGCACGCTTAATTGCCTCTTCCGGATCCGTGGCTTTCGGATTCAACTGATACAGCACTGTGAGGCTGGCGCTGCTCTGCTGCAGAACTCTGTTCGGGATTTGGCGGCAGCTTGTCGTCGTTTCTCGAGGAAGGCCGGCATCACGGCTGGAGTTCTTGAAGAGAAAGGCGGGTAAGTATGTCTCTGCCAGGCTTCATCATCTGTCTTTGGGACAGGCTTGACGTGTCAACGGTTTTGCCTTGTTGGTCGAAGCTGCATGTTCGAAGGCACCTGGCTTCGTGAGACGGTCCTTGCGCCGGACTTCAGGACCGCAAATCCGTAAGGAGCCGCGAGGGTTTGAGCCCTGTTGGCTTTACGTGTCGAAGGAGCGCTGCAGCTGCTCGAACGCTCGCGCGAGCGTGTCTGGCTGCTTGGCTTTGCTCGAGCCTCAGGCTTGCCGTCGTACCGAGAGGACCTGCCGCGCCTGATGAGCACGAAGGTGCTGTCTCTGTGGTCTAGTCTGCGGTGACGGCTTGTGCAAAGGCAGTATGCCCAGAGAAGTCCCAGCGGCGCGGAGTTGTTCGTTGCACAGCACATGAGCCCTGTCACGAGGACTGGCCCATGACATGAGATCTCGTGGAGTGCCAATGGATTTCATGCCCCGCTGGCCTCATCCATATATTTCAGTAGTCAGTTATCTCTCACACACACATGTATGTATATATATATATACACACACACATACATACATGTGTTTGTGTATATATATATACATATATACATATATACATATATGCATATGTACATATATACATATATACATATATACATATATACATATATATACATATATATATATATATTTATACACACATAAATATGGCTCAGCTGATGAAGCTTTGGGTCAAGCGGGGCCAAAGATGCCCCGCTCCAAAACCTCACCAGCTCAGATTGCCAATGATGCCAGCCCCGGACCAGTTGTTAAACTTGCTTCGGCACTGAAGTCTGGTGCTGAAAAGCGAAGCAGCCGCCGCGATTCCTAGCACTAAGTTACTCGCTGCCTCAAGCTGCAAGTTTCGCTTTCTCACAGGCCTGGCTCGAGCTGAAACCACGGTCTCCACGAGGAACAACCTTCAAACCTTCACCACTACTCACCCAGTCCTTGTCGTCACCGCAATTGCAAGAGAAGGAGCGAAAGGAAAGGTGCACAGGCGTGCAGGGGGCAAGTTGCGCCCTGCAGAGTTTTCGCACGGCATCATGGCTCGAACCCCAGGAATCCCCAGGATATCAGAATCAGAACCGCTCCCCTTCGCAGCACCTACTGAATGCCTCTCTTGTGAAGCCGGCTGCAACTGCTCAGGCGATGGGGATGCCGCTGAGACATTACCTGGGTACCATGGTGCGATCGGCGGAGTTCTGTTCCACTATTCGGACTCCTTGTGCATCTCCGTTCAGAAGCGACCCGGAGAGTGCCAGGCAGCGTCGTTCGGCTCCATGGCCCTCGGCTCCATCTGCGTACACACGCCGATCAGTCAGATGGCTTGCACAGACAGCGCAAGGATGCTTCCAAAGCCCCGCTGAGGTACATGCAGCCCGAGATGAACTCGGACATGGTTGCCTCAGACTTTGAAAAAGAAGCACAAGCGAGGATAAGAGCTTGCGGCAAGCCGCTTGCCGCTTGCGCATCTGTAAGTCGTGGTGACCTTATACTCTTATGCAGCCGCCTTTCCAGGAGACACGCCATCGAGGAAGTGACGAAGCTTGCCATGGACGAAAGATTCGGGCAGTTGCCCCGAGCCGTTGGAGCTGAAGACTCCCTCGTGACCCGGCAGACATCTGACATCTGAGGCCCGCCGTTGACGGCACCGCCTCGAGGACTGGAAAGCTTTCCAAGTTGGCCTCATGCGATATTGCGAGACCACAGACCCCAGGCCTCCGAGATGATGGCAGAAGCCCAGCTGCGTCTCGACAGTGAGTCTGGACAGTGTAGTTTTCGAGCCGTCAATCTGGCACACGTTCCAAGACGGTGATGGAAAACGACTCTCATGTGCAAGTCTGTAGCAGGGCCGGAGGCAGCACTCTGACACATGTGTCTCACAGTCACGCCGTCCTGGTCGGCGGGTCTGGCTCTGACAGTCCGTGCTCACTGTCTCTGGGCTCGGTGCTGCCTGGTCCTTAGACAGTTCACTTTTGGTCTGGCTGCGTGCGACCATCAGACCCAAGCAGAGCTAGAGGCTGCCATGTCCTACTATGTGGGTGCCGAGCCGAGAAATCCGGTTCAGTGCGAAAAATTCTGGCGCAACCGCATCGATGCAGAGGAGGCTCAGGGCCTCAGGGCACGGGAGTTTAGAGTCGGCAAAATACGGAGAGTGTCACCTGCCAGGGTGCAGCTGTTCGGGCCACGGCAAACTCAGTGTGGCCTGGCTCACTGCGACATGACATGTACTGATTGTACTGCCTGCAAAGCAATGCTTCCGTCCTCAGGAGTGAGGGTAGTTGCCCCGTAAGCTGGCGGTGCTTGGCTGCAAGGCTACCATCCTGAGACCCCATGCAGAGATAGCACTGGCGGACCCGCGCAGCCTCTGACACTGAGGAAAATACCTCGGACGCCCGGGCGGCTAGGCACTGGCGAGCCAGGACCAAAGGAAGACCTGAAGCAGTTTTTGCAGCATGCTGGGTCGGCTGGGGCGTTGGGGTAACATGTCTTGCGCCGATTTAGGTCGAGACATTCAGGCAGCTCCTTGGCATGCAGAGGCCCGGCGCCACAGCAGGGTCCGAGCCTGTGGTTTCGTCTCGGAGCGCCTTCATGTTGGAAGGCACCCCCCAGACCAAGAAGCAATGCTAGGTTCCTGGCATTTTTGAGTTATGGTATTTTGACATTGAGGCCAGCAACCCATGACTAATGGCATGCCAAGCATCACCTGGAGTCATAGAGATCATCCAATACCTGTGAAGTGATCAAACCTGTGGATGGAAACTTAGCCAGCCGGAACGCCGCATCTGAAGAGATCTGAAGTAGAGATTGCGGAGAGAGACGGACACGCACTTCGAACTGGATGCTTCTTGCTAGCCGATGTCAAGCTAAAGGATTTGAAGAGTGCGGGAGCGGAGCCGCAATTGGAGGATTGGAACTCCTCTCTGCTCGAGAGAGAGGCGAAGTGGAGGCGGGGCCTCGGCTGCCTCAGCTTCCCTCCTCGACTTACGCTGTGCCTCGCTGTGCTTCGCTTCCAGGAGTCGGTGCTGCCCGAGCTGCAGAAGGCAGCTCTGGGATTCGGCGCTTCGCGTGGCTCCCTACTCGTACTCGCTGCCTTTTCTCAAGGCAAGAGAGCGCTTGGGCACCGGGCGCTCTCAGCGCGTCGGCACCGCGTGCTCAGGCCTGGGCTTTCGTGTCGGCAGCCGCAGCACCGGTTGTGGGTTGACTGCAGGCATCTCAGCCCGCAGCTCGGTTTCCGGAATGTCATGCCGGTCAACGGTGCTTTCCGTCGTTCTGGGCTAAGCGCAAGACGTGTCTTCCCCTATGGCTATGTGCTTCTGCGGGCTTCTGCGATCTCTGACTTTCGGTGCAACACTTCCTTTTGCAGGAGCTCGAGATCGAGCGGGAGCGCCGGCAGGTCCCTGACTCTGGCTCGAAAAATCCTACTTTCCAGACGCTCACAAAAAGAGGCCGCAGAAAGGGAGCTCGAAGAGCTGCGGAGAAAATTGGACAGCATGAACGTTGCCAAGTCCTCAGCCAGCGCGGCAAGAAGATTGTTAGAAAGCCAAGCCTTCAAGTGATGTGTTCTTTTCTCCTGGAGGCTTCCAGCACTGCTTCCCATGGACGTGCTAAATTGCCGGAGTCATCCAACACGAGCAAGAGCAGGCGTTCCCGCTGATGTGCCACCTTTGTAGTTTATGCAACTCCCGGCGAGGGGCCAGTTTGGCTTGTGTCGATATGGTTTCAAAGACGCAGAGCAGAGGTTCTAGACATAGGCCATGTCTTGCTTTGCTGACTGGTCTTTCGATCCCCGGCTTCGCTCTCTCAGCTGAACATCGGCAGGGAGGTGTCTCACCACCCCGGAGAAGTAACAAAAAACCTGCCAAGACCGAGACGCTACTTGGGATGCTGCATCTGCATCATTCTGACGAGCTGTGATGGGGGTATGTGTGTATGTGTGTGTATATATATATATATATGTATACATATGATATGCATATGCATGCGTGTTGCGGCCTGAACATGCAAGTTTATCATGCCTTTGGCAAGCAAAACCCAGTTTACGGTATCCAGTTGTTGGTTGACGTTCACCTCGTACAGATGCAAATCACCTCGGAACAGAGACAGACTCACCCTTCACTTCAGCCCAGTGCAGTGCTGCCATCCTGTTCGCATGTCGTGCTGAACACATTGCACTTTCGTGCGCTTGGCTGAGATGGACGCGGCGGCCCGAGTCGAAACTACGATGTGATGTATTTTCAAGCTACTACGATGTGATGTATTTTCAAGCTAATGCTTGAGAGAGATCAGAGAACCTGTAAGGAGAGACGTGTGCTGGTGCGGGTGAAGAGGCCGCCGCCACCAAGCGGCAGCGCCCAACTGGCCCACGCACGCAGACGCGCGCACGTGTCGGCTCTCCAGAAACTTGGGCTTGCAGGCGTCTCGATGAGGATCCGCTTCCGGAAATCCTTCTGGAGGACACCGTTTGGTAAAAGTGTTCGTAATCCAGTCCAGTACTTTACAGTGACGGAGATGGTTGACGCAGGAGCCGCGTAAAGATTCTGATAAGCGTCCGCTGCTGAGAGATGATCCGTATGGTGAGACGTCACCGCTCCCTGGGAGCCTGAACCCGCGTCTTTAGGCCACACTCGTGACTAATGTCTCATGATAGTGTAATGAGAAGGTGAGGGTGAAGGATAATGAAGGAATGCGGCTGCCATCCCGCTCAGGAAAAAGACCCGATGCCACGGCTGCAGCTCTAAAGCTTGTCGACACGGTTGGGCTGGGCACATAGTGTCAGCTCCAAAAGCCGCATCAAGATCTTGTCTCTTTTGCCTTTTGCGATTGTTCCGGTTTCAGGTCCCGACAGTGGCCCGATGAGGAGTCTTCTTCCAGTTCAATTCAAGCTGCTGTGAAGTGTCGCCTTGGTGAGGAATATGGCCTTCCCGTAGCCTGGTTCCATGCAGCCGCAAACGCGGCTTGGCCAGCGATGCCGCAAGGACATCTGGTCCCTCCAACCACAGAGCGAGTTGCGAAGCCGGCGTTGCGTTTCAGGATGCATGTCGCAACAACTCGAGCCGATGCTGGAGCTTCGAGAGGAAGCCCTAACAGCTATTGCCAATGGACATAGGCCATGGTTGTCGGTCCTGGCAATCGCGTGCAGGCGTCGCGTCGTCTGATTGGCGGGCCTCGGGCTCAGAAAGACTCAGATGCAACAGCACGCTTGGGCTCTCTGTTGCAGAGATGACTCACCTGGTGTGCCAAGAAGGTATGCCGGCGAAACCGTGCAGCTGATTGATGTGGACCGTTCCGAAAACTGCCCGATGCCGGCGGTGAGCCCAGCGGAACTCTCCGAACAGTGCCGACGATTGCGTTTCTTTCCTGCAGGCAGCTTCTGGATTCACGATCAATGGCATGGAGCTCGTCGCCGAGCGAGGGCCCGAGGTGGAGGTCGAAGGCCGAAGGAAGTCCTCTTTCTCAGGGAGAAGCCAAGGCCCAGAGCTCCGAGTCCGAGAGAGGATTTTGTGTGGGACGTCTATGCGTCGCTTGGCCCCTCATAGTTTCAAATCAAGCAAGTTGCCCGCAGTTGTGGAGCTCTTCTGGCATTCCTAGGCTCAGTGACCTCCAACATGCGCCAGCGGCTGCAGTGCAGCTGCATGCATCGCGGCAGCAAGCCTCATGCAGTCATGGGCATCCAGCTTTGAGCTCTCAGGGGCCCCTGTGAACGAAAGATGTACTAAGGATTCTGTCCTGGGTCCGGAAGAAACGGTTTGACCGTCATGTTTGGTCGAGTGCTGGATGACGGCCGCACACCTGAGCATTGCAAGGACCTGGATGAACTGGAGTCAATTGACTCTTCAGACGAAGGCCTGACGATGGTCTCTGCCTCCTGTCGGCTTGCTGCGTTGGCCTGCCAATGGGTTCAGGCGCTGTTGAGCCATGGTCACGCAGAAGCAGCTCCGATGAAGAATGCGATGAGCCGGAGGTGTGCCCTTGTGAAGCATCTCCTGGCCGCACTCCCTGCCCCTGCAGGACGGATCCCAATGGGTGAACACTCTGGACTAGTGGGTCCAGTGCTTCCCTCCTCAGTACAGAGCCTCGAGGGAAGCCAGCACCTCAGTTGCCGCTTGAGAGTTTGCCAAGTGGAAAAGATGACGCACGTATGGATCAGAATCAGAGATTGTGCAGATGTTCCTAGATCGGACTGCACAAGCTTCTGCCTATGAGTTGGTGAACGGTGGTCAATTCCGAGAGCTGCCTGCAATAACCGCATGGACACTCCCAGTCTCGGTTGAGCGGCGGCAGCGGTCTCCCTTCGGTGCCAGTGGCTCCAACGAGACATCGCGAAGCCACGTAGATCCTGCCTGCGGAATCTGCAACCCAGGCTTCCGACGTTTTCCCAACCTGACTCAGACAGAGAAATCGCAAACGAGCGAATCACATCAGACCCACTGTACAGGACTTAAATAGGTGAAATCGTGCCAGCCATGCCTTGCAATGCCAAGCCCACGCGGTAGCTTCTGCGTGGGCACACCAAGCTGGTGCCCTAGAGGAAGCACGAAGAGGTTGCAGGAGACATTTTTCCTGTCCATGTCCGAGGCGCCTGACTGGTGGCCTGATGGCAGCAGGGCTGAGCTCGGAGGAATTTGACCGCCTGCAGCAGGACCGCAGACTCCGCAGACCACACCCTTTGGCACAGACAGAGCGGACAGTCCTTGAGGAGCTCTTGTTCCTGAAGATTAAGACCGAGGAGCTTCGAGAGGCAGGACCACGATGGACCAGGGGGGAGAGTTGCGCCGCAAGAACGGCATTCGTCTCTTTCTGCCTAACCAGGAGAACGCAAGAGCGCTTCGACACTTCCAAGCACAATCTGCGCAGACTGGCGTAGATGCTCTCCGAAAGGCCGGAGCAGGCGTGGGGAACTTGCATCTCCATTCGTGTTACATGCAAGTGACCACTACCATCCTGAGAACATGTTTTTGGTTGTTCTCGCGGCTATCATTGGCAGGCGCCGTTTCTGCTATAGGCCAGCGCGCGGCATCGTTGAAGTCCAGCTTGTCAGCACGGGCCCTTGAGACAGATGTGAGAATCCTGTGATAGAAGATGTGCTGGCGAATCCTGAACAGATACTGAGGATGGAGCATCTTTCCAGGCTTTCCAGGCAGTGTCGCCCTTTGCAATCTCGTTGTGGTGTTGCACGGCCGGTTACCTCCAATGCGATGTCCAAGGCCAAAGACAGCATTCTTCATCCTGAGGCATGTGGCATTCGGGTCACAACATACTGTACGCGGCGAGACGCGACGACACAGAGCCTTCGTGCAAGTCTCCTTAAGGCTGATGCTGCAACCACGGAGGCCCGTGAGGAGGCAACTTGCGTCGGCTTTGTGAAGTCAGCTAATCTGGCTGAACTGGTGTTGGAGGTACATTCATTGCAGGAACGTTTGAAGGCTGCAATGGAGGCCTCCAGTCAACTTCTCCTGGTTGCTCACGTCCCCTTGTGATCCAGAGCAGGAGTTGGCCTCTGCAAGGAACGACGCCATGACGGCACAAAGAGCCCCGAGCCTAGATTCCTAGATGTGGTGCAGGCCGTGGAAGCCCTGCGTAGTCGGGAGCCGGTGCCCAGGCCGCCACCGCCTGCGCGGAGGAGGGCAGCACCTGGTTGAAGCAACAGATTGTTCTTCCGTCTTCCTTAATTGGCCAGCCTTTTCTCTTCGGAACTCTTTGTCATCATGGTGCAAGCCGTCTTCCTCACAGCCGGAACACGAGCACGGGAGCTAGATAAAGCTAGATTTTCCTACATATTTCTTGCATTCAGGAAACCATGCTGCTAGATATTTCCTGCATTCAGCAACCAATCTGCTAGATATTTCCTTCATTCAGAAACCAAGCTGCTAACCTTTTCCTTCACTCGGAAACCAACCTGCTGAACTTGGGAACTGCATGTTCCGCTTCCGTGGACATGATTGTCTGAGAGATTTCGACTCAAGATGCCCAGCCTGAGAAAGAAAAACATCCCGGGCAAACGCAGGGAATCTAGCATCTTCTAGCATTATCTAGCATCCCTGGTCCTCCGGGACCTGGCCGGAATCTAGCATTGTCTAGCATTATCTAGCAGTGACTAGCATTGTCTATCTAGGTTGGCGGTAGTATTCGCATGGTAGGGCACATGGTTTAGGGTTTAACTTTCCATTCTTGAGGCCAGAAAGCCGAGCACTTTTGGTTGTGTTTTCGGACCTACCCTTTGAATCTTTCAAAGCCTCACATCTTCGGCACATAAGCGAAGTAATTATCTAGCTTTCCCTTGCTTTGTCTAGCCGCCCTTGTCTGGCTAGATTTTTCCTGTGGCTGTGAACCTGACGGCCGGGAAGCCAATGTATTCCCTAGATTTTCCGGTGTGGTGACTGGACGTCCAGGACCCTGAAGACAGCGGCTCCAGCCTGATGGATGCGATTGACTCTTTTGTTCGACGTTGCGACACCTGGCAAGCCTCAGGTTCCAAACCCCAACGCGGTGCGAGGCAAGCAGAGGACACGCTGGGATGTGGAAACTATTGCGTCCTACATGTGAGAAGCAGTAACGGATCGTGCACTGACGCTAGCCTGGCTGGGCACGCAGTGGCACAGTACAAACACTCCACAGGATCGGATACATGAGGCAGAGAGCCGCAGAAGGCGTTTCACGGAAGGCATCACAGTTTCCAGGAGTCTCAGCCAGATGACTTGACCGAACAAGTGAGACGTAGCTGGTTGGGCTTTGCATATTGGCGTGTTGCGTATATTTTGAACAAGGGCTGTGGACCAGATACGCCGACTGGGCCTGCCTCTTCCCACGGAGTAGAGCGTGCGGTGCAATCAGGATGGCATGACAGTGGGCCCGACATGTGGATTGGACAGCTGATCGCCAGCTCTTTCCGTCTTTCTGCCTTTGAGCCGCTACAGGTGCTGTTGTTCAAAGTACAGCAGCAGCCAGGGGCTGAACAATTGGCTGAGGGCAGTGACAACGTGTGACAACTGCCGGATGAACTTTTTCGATCGAGCTGAGGCAGAAGGAGCTAGAGCGGGTTCGCGAAGCAGTGGACCAGCAACAGGAGCCATGCTTGTAAACATGCGACTGCTGCAGAAAGCGCCCGCCAACATGCAGTACAGGCGCAGATTGGCCGTCTGACAGAGAAGGTGTGGGCTGACTTCGTCCGGTCCGTGACAATCTTGCTACTATTGAGGCAGCCGCGGACAAGAGGCCAAAGGGTTCGCCAAGGCACGGGCGTGGGCCGCACAGATTTTCAGCTCGCGCAGAAGAGCTCCGAGGTTGTCCGACTTGGAGGAGCAGCTCCGCGCCTCGGAGGGCAAGCTTGACGACTTGGGCACCGGACCCAAGTTTCTCGGGTATGAAAGAGCCCATCCCGGTCCCGCCCCCTTTGCAGCAAAGGTCGCCGGCTGCAGTCCTCGCAGGGAAGCTCCCGCGCCTCGTCTCAGAATGGCGCGTCTTCGCGCAGAGCTTTGGCCCTCAGGTTTGACTTACGAGCTTCAATGCCACTTGGAGTCTGTGCTCAGTCAAGTCAGGCTCCGAAGGGTCGTCGAACAGAGGATATTCAAGTTGCGTGGTTGTGGTCTGGCCTTGCAAACAGGAAGCGCGATGCTGCCATCGAGTCGCTCCTCGTGAGGACATGAGCTGAAGTTGGCGTGTTTTCCAAAAGGGCCTTGAGAGACAGCTCGCATTAGCTCGGCCCGCTCTCATCGGGAGGCAGGAAAGAATGGAGAACCGGAGTGTACTGCAACGCGAGCGGTTGGCGTTTGCCCAGGACCCGATTGCCTACACCTGCCCTGGTTAGCAGCTCGCTCGCAGCGAATGATGCAGGAGGACATCATGTCCAAGGTGATGGAGTATCACCTCGAAGAGCTTCCGCAAGTGCTTGATGCTACAAGCCCTAATTTTTCCCCAGATCTTCGACAAGGCGCAATCTTAATTGTCAGCGATTGGCACCAGCGTTTTTTCGCCGCTTGTAGATGTCTCCGAAGAGCAGCTTGACGAAGATGCCGGCAACTGTGCCAGCAGCCATTTTCAGCAGGCAGCACAAGCTCACACATGCCATCACTACACCCTTCCGCCTAGATGCAGGACGCAGGTGTGCAAGTGTCCAACGAAGACACGGCAGACTTGCAGTGGGAGGTGGGCTTTAGCTGCAGCTTATCAACTTCTGTCCGAGCCCCCGCCAGGTCTCGGGGCTCGCTGCAAGCCCAAGTTGGTCCTCGCGAGCCGAAGGTGCACAGCTCCTCGACAAGCAGACAGCTCGCGGAAGTTATGTCAGGCGACGGGGGCTTGGTCGCTCTGAAAGAGGAGCTGCAGGCCTCCGCAGAAACCCGATCCTCCACGTTTCATCCTTCGTCTATTTTTGCAGAGATTTGTTAACAGAAAGGGAGCCCCGTCCTGAGGAGCTACGGGCTGCGGCGGAGGAGGCGCAGCGCCGCAAGGCCGAACAGGCCCTCGAGAGCTCTGCTGCATCCTGATGAAGCCCAGCTCCGGTCGCCGAATCCTGAGGCAGAATCACTGCGTGCTCAAATACGGCAGCGGCAGCAACAAATGGCACTGAAAGAAACTGCACACACTGAGGCAAGAGCTGGGCGTCGCATTACGTTTGACACTAGGATTGTGTCTCGGAGGCCACGGCAGCAACCCAAGCAACGGCAATCGAGGCGCTCTATGCTGTCAAGTTGACTCGGCATCAAGTGCACATTGGTTCATTTTACGTCGTTTTTCGTGGACTTCCCCGAGGCCGTTGAATCCTCTGGATGGCTGTACGTGTTGGTCTTGGAAGAGTCGGGACCACTTGTCCGGTGACCTGTGACACGATCTGTCTAGACGAGGTGCAAAAGATTGAGGAGCTGGAGCAGCAGAATGATGGCCTGGAGCAAGACCTCGACCTGCTCGCATCTAGCAAGCTCGAGCCTGAACTCGAGCTGCGACGGCCTCATATGGGACGGTGCAGCTTTATCTTCTTTCGCAGGCAGTGCCTTCTCGACGACAGCAAAGAGAAAGAGGAGCACCGGAGAAAAGGTTTAGCCTCTCCAGCCAGAGATGAGCACAGCCAGGTAAAGCTTTAAGCAGCGCTTTCAGTGCTAAGCCTGCCGACATCCTCCGTGCCTCTCAGGAGCTAATCTCTTTCCTGATGCGCACCGTGCGCTCTGATGGGAGCGAGTTGGAGAACCCTGCTTTGACCTCAGCTTCTCGAGAGCTATCGGTGCCAGCATGTGGACCTAAGGGAAGCCTGAAAAAGCCAGGACAAGGATATCTCTCGCCAGAATGTCTCCAGAACTTGCCTTCTTGGCACATTAGGAGCTGGTGCCAAGTTCTTTGGACTTCTGCGGGGCGCGGGAAGGAGACATGCAGAGATGGATGTGGTGCCTCACACTCACATCGTCTGCGGTCAGGAGTCAGCGAACACAGCTTGAGGAGCTGCAAAAAGTGGCCGAAGAAGCGATGATGGTGCGCTCTCTGCACTAGTTTCCCCAACTCCCACAACCTCCTCTACCAAGTCAGCCATCTAATGACAAACTGGATGCCAGGATAACCTCCGGCTGCGAAAGGATCTGCGGATATTGGCGGAGGAGTTCCGGAAGTACATGCAAGCAGATCACTGTCGCGATCCTACTTCAGAAAAGTAGCGGACGGCGGCAAAGGTTCAAGGGTGAGCAGGGTGCTTCCTGGCGTGATGAGGTCCAACGAATGTTTCGGCCTCCTCCTCCGAGAGCTTGGGGAGAGAGCTCGAGCGTCAAAAGACAGACGATCTGCACACACGGCAGCTTCGGAACAATGAACGTTATCCCTGCCTATGCTGCTGCCCATCAGCTGAACACATAGACACCCCCATGATGCCATGAATCGATAGGTGTGACTTCCCACTCCGATGTAGATCAGCTTGGCACACAGGCTCAGCCGCCCTGCAAGAAGATGGAGACTTCGCTTAGGTCGTGAGGGCAAGGCCCCCCACTGCACCCCGAATCGCAGCCTGTCACTCCCTCGTCTCGTGAGCATCACACAAGTCTGGAATCGGCATCAGTGTGAGCACCATGGCTCCGCCGAAGGGTCCTGGAGGGTCCTGGCCTTGACGGTGGACCAACAGTTTCACATCCCTTACGACGGTGAGGTCCACAATCACAGCCGGCTCGGAGGTGAGGCTCATAAGCAGCCATGGCCCAGGAGCTTCAATGCTTCCCGGCTTCCTTCGAGCTCGATCTTGCTGAGGCCTCTCCAAGGCCATGCGCCTTTGTTTGGGCCAGGGTGGCTGGGTGCCCCAAATGGAAGCCACGCTGGGCAAGGCTTGTGAAGAGATGTGAAGTTTCATCTGCAGCATATGTGCGACTAAGCGACTCGCCAGGTTGGCGTCGTGGTGGAGGCAGTGAATCTGTACGCTTGGTGGACACAGCCTCTCCTTACCAGGGTGTTTTTCTTAGCGGAGCCGAGCTTGCGTGCAGATAGGCTATGGTTTCATTCGTGTTCCCGGACTTGTGATGTGACCGACTTTTGAATAACAAGCCAAGCGGAGCCAAACTAAGCCAATCCAAGGCCCTTCAACAGAAGATCCTTTGTAACGCAAGGTACCTAGGCGCGGCCATGGCAAACCCGTCGGGGATATCAAATCCACAAGTATTTTTCTACATCAGGCTGACGAGAGACTCGTGGATTGCACCTGTGCAGACTCTGGATGGGTCAGTTGCAGGTGCTTCCTTCGGGAAATCTGCGCATCCAGTGTGGCGGCTCCCTGCCTGTGTCTCAAGTGACCTGTTGCGATTTCGTGCCTGGGGCCTACGCATCGAGAACGGCGCTGTTGGCGCTGGTTCCCAGGCGACCATACATCTATCCACCGGCACTGATTGCTGAGCATCTCAATGCACAAACCGGCCCACCACTCTTTGTGTTTGCACCCCAGCACTGCCGGCGCTGCTGCTGGAATCCTAGATAGCCGCACCATTGCGGTTTGGGCATCTCAGGCTGGATCTTCACCCACACAGCCTGGTGCGGCTAGATCATGGTGGCCACTGTGTAGCCTGTGCTGCAATTGATGCGAACAGATAGACATATGCAGTTTCACTCGCCTGCGAGTGTTCAGCGGAAGCGGGGGTTGCGCCAGACATCAGGCCGTGTGCAAACGCCCCTTTGAAGGGATCACAGAGGCCTCGGCCTCCTTGCGTCCTCTGCTGGAGCTCTGTCCGGCAACTCGGCCAGGCCGAGAAAGAAAGCAACGCGACAGCGGACGAGGACATGGCTTCTCTCTTCTGTTCAGAGTCAGTTTTTCAACGAAGGAATGCTCCTCAAGTCCTCAAGCCCTGAACAACAGGCTGCCGAAGATGCAGCACCCCAGGATCATGCAGTGCTCCCTGTGATGATTGAGCGAAAGCTAGGGCCAATGGCGCGGAAGGAAACGTTTGCACGGATTTCTTTCGGTTGCCAGGCCATGGCAGCCTTCCTTTCAGGGCCAGCAGCCAGAGGTGTGGATGCAAGTCCCATGCCGATCGCCGTGAACCTCTAACGCCCAGCCCGCGACAGGCGATAAAATTTGCGGCTTTGGCTGTGAAGCTGCTGAATTCTTCATGTGTGAGCTGTGCTGTCGGCAGGGAACTGAGGACCGAGCGGGTGTATATCATGCAAAACAACTGCCATACTTACAGAATTAACTGCTGTATCAGCTTCACCAGTGTGCTCAGGAAGTCTTTTGTGGTGTCGCTTGTCTGTTCTTCTTTTTTGTTGAACGCCTGGAACGAACAAGTGAATCCCTGGCCGAAATCAGTGTGTCAAGTTCAAGTCGGGCAGCAGAAAGGCTTTCGCTGTTCTGGCCTAGACATTCACACACCCCGAACCAAAGGATCCTAGTTTCCAATCACACAAAATCCTTCATGCTAAACACACATGCTGAACCCTACTCTGAACCCTAAGCCACCCGAAACCTTAAACCACCCTGAACACCCTAAACCCCTCCCAACAAACCCCCCCGAACCCCCTGAACCGAAGCCCGAAACCTTTCTGAAGACCCCTAAACCCTAGACCCCCTCAACTCTTCAATCCGTACCCCACCCAAATTCCAAATCCCTAGTCCCCTTGAATCCTTGACTTAACGCTAGCCCGAAAGTAAGCCCGGCAAGCCCTACAGCCAACACGACTCTTCAACGCCCCAAACCCTAAACCGCACAGGCCCGAGCCAAAATCCCCCAAATCCCTAAACCAATTCCCCTTAACCGGACCCCCAAAAACCCTGAGCCACCTACACCCCGAGGCCGTACCAGTTGGAACCACTGCGGCAGCACCAGGACCTGGATGCAAGTGGTTCCTCCCTCAAGGCACCCTAAGGCCTCTTGAGTGTGGTATCGTGTTGAACTCTGCAATTCGATGCAGCACGAGTTGGCCGAGGCCAGGCTCTGGCAGTGGCCGAAGCGTCTTTGCGCCTGGGGGCCTTCTCCTCAGCTCATTCGGAAGTGCTCAAAATCCGGACTGCATGGAAGATGTCAAAGCGTCGGTCTCGAGTCCTGGAGGCTCAGTGCAAACTGCAACATGGCCCTGGCAAGTGGCTAAACGCAGTGGTTGTGGAGACCCTGCCGAACTCGAAGGTTCGCGTGCACGTGCCTTGCCTGCAGGAGAAACGCTCAGTACCGAATGGACAGGCTGCTTTCATTTGAGTCTCATGTCTCAGGTTCCGATGGAAGAAGTTCCTGACCAAGAGCTGGAAGTGACCTCCCCGAAGCTTAAGCCGACCAGAACGGAGGTGCACCCCCGTGAAGTTGGCCGACAGTCTTCGAGAAGATTCATCGCTTGAGCCCATGTGCTGTAGTTGGTTGAGCGAGCCTGTCCGCAGGCCCTCGAGTTGTGCAGGCCCGCATGCTACCCCGAAGGCCGAGACACGGGCACGATATTGTCACGAGGGAACGTGAACGCGGTTTCCCTGAAGTGCCAGGATTACACCGAGTGTGCTTTCCGCATGGATTGCGGGGGACGCTGTTTGGCGAGCCTGTACACTGCTCCTCAGATGACTGCATGACAGCTTCTCAGTGCATCCGAAATTGTGATTGTACTTGTGAGCCTTGAATCAGCCTCGCGCTGTAAGATGTGAACTCTGCGGTCAGGCCTGGAGGATGCAGGGGAGGCAAGTCGCAGGAGCCATCAGCACAGTAGACAATGAAGAAGGCTTGAGTTGCATATCCTGTTAGGGGCGCGCTCTTCAAGGTACCCTCGCATTTTGCTTCCAAGGCACACTCGCAAACAATCTAAGGTGCACTCGCACGTCGCTTCCGTACCGTAAAAATGCAGGCTGCCGTGCCCCTGCCCCAGTCTGTTCGCGGCACGAGTGCACGTCGCTTCCGCACCGTAACAATCAAGCTGCCGTGCCCCTGCCCGAGTCTGTTCGTGCCTCTTGCCGTGCACTCGCACGCCTGCTGGGTCTGTTCCTGCCCTTGTCACGCCCCTGCCCTTGTTGACTCGCGGAAAGCCCCACCTCCCCAAGCAAGCTAAGCAAACAGTTTTTTGGTCGTCGCAGAACTCTGACGAAAGGCCCCAATGAGTGAATCCAGCAGGAACCTTTTTCCCGAGACGAAAACCCTATGCAGTGAATCCAGCGAGAGGCTTTTGCCCAACAAGGAAATCCGGCAAAATCCCAAACCGTGAACCTTAAACCCTAAACTCTCGATTGAAAGACGAAAACCCTGAGGAGTGAATCCAGCAGGAACCTCTTGCCCAAGACGAAAACCGTAAGGAGTGAATCCAGCAGGAATCCTTTCCCCAAGACGAAAAGTTTAAGGAGTGTATTCAGCAGGAACCTTTTGCCCAAGGCGAAAAAGTAAGGAGTAAATCCAGCAGGAACCTTTTCCCCAAGAGGGAAACTCTGAGGAGTGAATCCAGTGAGAATCTGTTGCCTAACACCAAAAGCCAAAAGCCTAAAGAGTAAATCCAGCAGGAACCTTTTGCTCAAGACGAGAACCCGAAGGAGTAAATCCGAGGAGAATCTTTTGCCCAACGGGAAAACTTTGAGGAAAACCCTGAACCCTGGAGCCGGGCAGGGGCACCGTAGCCCCATTTTGACAGTACGTAAGGGACCCTGAGTGTGCCCCGGATTCCAAAGAGGCGCGAGTGCGCCTTGGATTCAAACCCGAGTGCGCCTTGGATGGCCTGGCGTCCTGTTAGCTCGCCGCGTGAAGCATCCGGCAGGAGTCGAGCCGCGTGGTGGCGTACTTCTGTCCCCGTACTGCCTTCCTGCTCTGCGAGACATGCATACAGGCCAGTTTCTGCAAGTGGAGGATGCACCCATCTTGACGGGTTGCAGGCACCCGATCTTGGTCAAGTCACTGTGGCGAGCCCAATCTGTGGGATCGGCCAGACAAGCGTATCACATTGACATTGCCCACGATCGGTAGCTTTCGGGTTTCACATTCGCGCACAACATGAGTTTTTTTTTGCCCCAAGGCCGAAACGTGCCAACAGGACATTCAAAAGCTCAAGGATCCGGAGTCCTGCGCGGCAGCTTCATCTGCAATTTGGGGCATAGGCATTCAATGCCGGCGAAGCACTGCTCTCAAGTGCCAAGGTTGCTGCGAAGCGCATACTTGGACTTTGCAACCGGTCGCAGCAGGCAGTGTGACGGCTTTAGACGCATGTTTTTCGCAATGTGGCAGCGCGAGGCTAGAATACTGTTCTTGGATGCTGGACTTTGCACGGGAGCCTGGATTGCTCATTGGAGTGTGTCTAGACGAGGGAGGCAGATCTCATCCGAGGCAGTGCCGTCGCCACGGCTGTTCATGCGGCTCGTGGCAGCTTCGACCTGGTGCAGTTCTCCTCCCTTCCGGGATCTCCGGGAGTCCAGGCGAAGAAAGCCTTTTGCCCGAACTATTCTTCCCAAACGCAAACCGACCTGCTTGCTTCGCGTTATTTGCCGCACTCTTCATTGCTTTTTCACAGTCATCATGGCTAAAGGATGCAGAAATCCTAGTTTGAGCCGACAGTTGCAGAGTCTTTCTCGAGGGTAGGTTGCCAGCTAAGCCTCCAGAGCCAGGAGTCGTCCTCTGGCGGGCAAGGCAAGATGCGGCAGCTGACGAGTTGCAGAAGCCTCTGCAGACAGTCTCACCTGCCAGCTCTATTACAACTCCTCACACGACTCGCTCAATGGCTCTATCTGGTTTGGGACTTAGCATCCCAGCACTTGAACCGGTGAGCTGATGCATGTTTGAGGCAGCTCCCTTGAAGAGGGGCAAGCTGGGGCGCTTGTTGGTCAACGTGCCCGTCGAGTCGCGCAGCCAGCTGGACGAGGCTGGCTAAGTCTAAGTGGTGCCAGGAGAGTTCCAAATGGTGTCCACAACAGCAGACTGGCTAAGGACAACTCTGATGCCTACTCCAGTGCTGCGCACTTGTACGAGGACTTCTGTGAGACCCTGTGATGTGATAGTCGTGGCATCCAGCATTTCTCACCTGTCGCCAGTTCCTGACCGGGCGCAGCAGAAAGCCGGAGCCAAGCGAAGAGGAGGAGGAAGACGATGTGGGCCCCTCATGTTTGCGAGGGTGCATGTGGCCTGTCTCTCAACCCCTGATAGCCTGAATGACTTGCGACCAGCAATTTCCCAGGATTGGCGCGAAGCTGACTTGGTGGAAGACGAGCAGGAGGCGAGAGGTGACAATGTGCACCTAGCACACCTGCCCGGGTTCTAGTACCACGTCTTGCAGGAGGTGCAGGTGAAGATGCTCCACGGAGGCATTCGCCTTTCTGTGCCCAAGGCCAGCCAGCGAAAAGCACATCCCTTCAACAGCCAGCTCTTTTTCCTTATTAGTTGGGACAGGCACAGGATCTTGATTGATTAATGATTGCGGAGCTTGATACATCCTGGCTGTGGCAATCGCAACCAGCGCAATGCTCAAGCTCAGACAAGTGACCGCCGCCAACGAACCGTTTTGAACACTGGTAGGTGATAGAGATCATGATATCGATGATATCTGGTTATCTTCTTAGGTCATGAGTCATCATGGATCAGATTTGGATGAGTCCGTGCAAGCGCCAGTCGCGGGCCCGCGGGCGGGAATAGAGTGTCGGCCATGATACTTCCGCCAGCCGCGGCCCGTGGGCCGGCACCACCTGGGGTGTTTTTGGAGAAGAAAGACGAGTTTGACGAGCGGCTTTTGGCAGCTGCCGACTTTGAGCCTGGCAGTTTGGTTCTCCGCGAGGAGTTCCTGCTGCGGGGGCCCGCAGAGCTTCCACCGCTGGGCATGTTCCGGCCAGTCCCGGCCGAAGTTGGGACGGTGGAGATCCAAGGGGAGCCCGGTTTTCCACGTGCTGTGATTTTTGATAACGAGCACATGAAGCTCCTCTTCGAGTTCTTAAACTCAGAAATCGAGGTCCAGCAAGAAGTGCTGGCAATGCAAGACTCGATGCACCCATCTTCTGAAACGATGCAGTCAACGAACAAAGTTGCAGAATGGCTGATCAGCCAGGATCTTCCATGGCTGGAGGATTTGGATACTTCCTCACTGTCTCGGCTGTTGAGACTTTTCTGCGTCAACAGCCACCCTTGCAAAGCCGCAGGGAGTACGAGTGGCTTGCTGAAGTGGGGAACGATGATCAATCACTCTTGTATTCCGAATGTGGTTTACTCCTCGGTGGAATCAGACGGGGTTTTTGAGGGCCACTTTCGTGCATGTCGTCCCATAAAAGCAGGTGACGTTTTGGGCGTCTCTTACATGAAGCTCCAGGTGACCTTGGCCCCCTTGGTGCTGCGCAGACGCATGCTCTGGTATTTGAAGGGATTCGTGTGCGAGTGCGACCGCTGTCGATACGAGGCCACGAACGGAGATCCAAGAAGCTGTGGTCGGGACCCTTCGGCCTCAGAAGTGGAGCTCGAAAAGGAGCTGTCGCATGCCGTGTTGGGTGCGCTCTGTGCGCGAAACTCGTCTTCAACACAGTCCTAGTCCTAGCATATCTCAACCGGGTTCGAGTTGGCTGCAGGTTTAGGGAGTTGCAATCGGCTTGGTGTCGGGTGTAGCGGTTCGGCTGGGTTTGGCAATACACCCGTCTCTCACATGTACATGCAGTGCTGTACAGTTGTATTGTTGCCAGCAGTGCTTGGATGTTGTGTATCGGTGCTGAGTACACAGCTTCGGTGCTGGCACATTATCTGTGCTACAGTATTCTTGATTTTCTAGGCTTGAAGCTCAAGGCCTGGGGGTTGACGAAGGCGACACCTCTCTTTTTTGGGGTTTTAAAAGCATTGAGTTTCGAACTTGTGGGACTGGCTGGTACGGCTAGGGCAGGCAGGGGCTCATGTGCTTGCTCGAGGCTGGTCCGGGTTTGCTCCGGCGAGAGCGGCTTTGGAGGATCTGCATACGCAGGTGGCGAAGCTTCACACCGCCTCTTTCGCCGTGCAGGGCCTTCGGCTCCTCTTCCTGGCGCTCCAAGCAGATGAGATCTTGTCGGGCAAGGGTGAACATGACGAGCAGGAATGGTTGTGCAGCTTGGATGGTCTTATGGCGGCCAGAGCCAGGGCCGTCCAAGTGGCTTCTTTGTCCTTTGACGTGCAAATGCAGCCAAGGTGCTCTACGTGAGGTGAGTGGCTGGCAAGAGTCCATTCGACCTGGGCAGAGTGGAGACTTGCTCCTAATGCTGTCCTTCAAGAGTGCCCGGGAAAAAATTAAGTTTTCGGAGTCTCAGCCAGCGTCCTGTAGTGTGTCATATCAACTCCGTGAGAGGCCTGGCACCTACCCTTCGGAGGCTCCGAGAGCTCGAGGGAGATGCAGAAGAAACCGACTTGGCTTTGAACCGTTCTGCCTCCGTCGTGCTCGCCATGGACGACGCTTGGGACGCCGGTTGACTCGGCCGGAGCCGCTGAAGGCCGAGGGACCCGCTCGACTCGGCGGAGCAGCACGTCGCAAGCCGCTATCAACCGCATCGGCTCCTCGGGCTCGAGCTCTGATGTCCTGGCCGTGCTGCGGCTGCGCCTGGCCGCATCTGCGACTTGAAACCTGCTCAAAGAGAGAAACGGGGCGCTCGATGCGTGCTCTGGCATCTGCAATCGTTTGCATGGCTCCAATGATATGACGCGGTGAGAAGCAGCCTCGGCAGCTCCTCGATCGACGCTGCGAGCCCACTTCACAAGCTGACTCTCTGCGGCCTGCAATGACTTACGCGACACCTTGCTCTGAGCTGCAACTGTGTAAACGATCATCCACGCCACAATTCAGAGTGGAAAAGACAATCAAACCTGGCAGTTGGCTGCATTTGGGACTCAGGCTCAGGCGTCACAGACGTTGTAAACGTGCACATAGCCATTCCTCCACTTCCATTTTCGAAGTGCCTCGTGCACTCGCAGTAGACGTGCGACCCTCGACCTTGGAAGCTTCGATATAGTGTGATCATGTGCCATACAAAATTAGCCGTGCTATTGGCCATAGGAATGGCCATAGCAAGTCCTGCCAGGAAAGAGTGACGACGCTCACTCTGCCAGAGGTGCTTCCAGCTTGCGCGGATGCCTCAGCACGGACATGGTCAGAAGTCTTTGCCACTGGTCCTTGCTCTCCAAGTTCATTCTGCCGGCAGGTGCCTTTGCCCAAGCGAGCGAACCTACCATCCCCAATGGTCCTCACACAGGACTTGAGCATGGGATCATGCCATCAAGCCTGGACCCGGTAGACTCTACCTCATTCCTGCCAGTGAAGGATTGGTTAATGAAGCATGCGCTGCCGCGCAACGATCTCTTCCTTGCGAAGAGAGTTCTTATGGCGCGGGTCTCGCCCGTTGCCACGGTGCGGTGGGCCTGGTCACAGATGAACACCTGCTCAGGACAGAGCAGACCTGACCGCCTGCGACCGGCAAGGCGTGTTTGCAGCTTCTTGCATGCTTTTTGCATGCTTTGCGTTTACACGTGTGTGCCCGTGCGTGTGGGACTGAGAGCTCTCAAGTCAAGAATGTGGTCTGGCTTGTTCTCAAGGCAACAGTGTGCTTGCCGTGGCCGGCTCCTCATCACAGACACGCGCAGCGACTCCTGAAGACTGCCATGGGAGGGCGGGAAACCAGGCCGTAGAGCATCAGTGCTCACAAGAGATGGTGGAGCTTCTCTTGGAGCGTGGATGCCACGTCCTCGAAGCAATAAGGGCCCTCTTGCACCTCGCATCACCTCGCAGCCTCGCGTTTCCAAGGTCCGAGATCCTCCAAGGGACCTCTCGGACCTCCCCTTTCGATCGCAGCCCGAAGTGGCCGACTCGAGGCCGGCGAGGGTGCAGAGGCCCTTGGAGTGTGACCGACGTGTTCTCAGGTTGTGCGGGTGCTCTTGGACTTTGGTTGCGACCCTTGCGAGATCGAGGCCGGTAGCCAGTTCTAGCGGCCACTCGTAGCTTCCTTTCTGGTGCTGGATCCTAGATAGGCTTCTGGCAAGTTGTCCGAAGCCGCCAAGAATTTGCTGGGATACCTGGCCAGCCACTCGATAGACGAGCCGCCATGAGGAACGGCAGGGCGGCTCTCCTCAGGTTCCGCTTCCCGACCCGGTGCTCCGGAGAGGCAAAGAGGGCTCTCTGCCGCTGCGGTGCCTGCGCCGACAGTTGGCAGTGGAGACCCTCTTGCCTTTGGTGCGCCCTGCAGCCTTTAAGCCCGTGTGTGGCAGATGTCTTCGTAGATCAAGATGCCAGACCATCGCGTCGCATTGTGCGGAGGCAAGCTCTATGCTGCCGTCCTTACAAGGCGGTCAGCGGAACTTGGATGCTCAGCTGGTGCAGGCAGCAATAGCTTCTTGATCTTGGTCAGAGAGTCGTGCTACTCTTTTTGGAAGGTTCTCGTTTTGGCATGCGAGCATGCAGCTCCCCTCCCGGCAGAAGCATTGGAAAGCCTCGTGCAAGTCTGCCGGAGTTTGCTGGGCCCTGAGTGCAAGCGGTAAGTCACGGCGGTGTCCTTGCGCGTGGTTTGGGTTATCCTAAAGACCGCTGTTTATTACTAGGCCAGGAGGCTCTCAGACATGGCATTTCTACTTGAGGCTGATGTCCTTCGAATCATCCTCGATGAACTTGGGCGTTCGCTTGGCTAGCTGCCTTTGCGAGGCAGGGGAGAACCAAAACCGGTGTTTGGGCAAAATGACGATGACTGTCGCTGTAAAGGCCGGCAAAGATGGAGTCGAGAAGCTGCGAAGACATGGCATCTTCAAAATGCCTGGAACTCGTGACACCTTCCGCTTCATGCCGCTTTGTCGATCTTCATTTCGTGGGTGAAATCCGGCAGGCTGCCGGCCCTGGCGGCAGCACCAGAGCTACATCAGCCGTGCCTGTCTCAGTCACCCTGGCTCACCCATCTCCGGGCGTTCTGTTTGCAAGAAGCATTGAAGGAGAAGCAACAGAGCGTAGACAGTTTTTTGTGATTCAGAAAAACAAGCAGCAGGAGTAACTCAGAGTCTCCTGCCAACGATGCTCTCATAGCATAGTGATATAGAGAGGGGACGCCTACTCCACGTACCTGCAAGTATGCTTCCGACAGATATTTGCAGAGGAAGTCTTACAAGTACCAAGAAGAATAAACTCGATAGTCTAAATTAGACGTATTTTCTGAATCGAGCTCAGCAACTCTTCAGAGATGCCTCTCCGATGTGTGATCATGTGTTTGTGTGTGCGTGTGTGGGGTTTATGTAAAAGTGCGGCGCTCGATAACTCAATCTAGGGCTTTCTCGGACTCAGGCCGCTTTAGGCAAGAGTCATCGAGAGTCCCTTCACGCGATAGGCTTTGTTGCGCTCCCAAATGCGATGCAAGGCCCAGGCCGCAGCACATACGCCAGGCTGCGGTGCCTTGGCTGTGACACAGTGAGAAGCGAGCAGAGATCTAGCGAGCGCGTGCGCGCGCTAAGGCGAAGATCCTAAGCCGATGGTCGGAGGAGGTGGCGAGATCAGAGCCTACTCCATGCTTGGTCTCTGCCTGAGAAGCTTTCAAGGCCCTCTCATCCCTTCGGGCTCAGCCTGCACAGGCCAGTGCCGAGCGATGGCAGGAGCTCCAACATTTGACACCGAGCGAACTAATCACTCTGCAGGCGGCCGGCGGGCAGGGCGGTTAGGGCGGTTGCGGGCATCAAATCTCCAGGAATGCCTCGAAACTTCGGAACATTTGCCAAACTTCGAACCAGCCATACAGTTGTTCTTCCGGTGTCGGATAATCCTTCACCTTATCGCATTCTATTTCATCCGGTCAACTCTTGAGGCTGATATTCCAAAGTGAATCATGGAACTCAGAACAGCAACTTTCAATAGGTCCGGTGCTTTATTGCAAAGCGCGCGGAAGCACAGCAATGCACAGCACTGGCGAGGTGCCGCAGAAGCTTCTCCGGGATGCGGCGTTCCGCAGTGCCATGCCAAAGGAGCTGGCACCGATGCTTTTGCAGGCCGGCGGCCGACGGGTCAACTGCTTTCAGCTCTTTTCTTGCTGATCTCCGGACAGGTCGTTGAAGAAGAGGAGAAATTTTCGGTGCATGTATATCGCGAACGGCAAGATGTCAGCCTTCGCGTTCTAACAGAGCCTTTCTGGCTATTTTGCCGGTCAGCCTGCTGCTCAGCGGGCCTTTGAGGAACCCTTTCACTGCATTGCCGCAGCTCGGTGCGCTGTATGCAGGCCGCCACCAGTATTCTACAGGGTTCTACGAAAGATGTCGCCCATGGTGGTGAATACGTTGCCGGAACTTCAGACATCTTGGCACACGACAGCTACTGCTAACAGCCTGCGATGTTGTTGGTCTTCGCCGCGTCGAGGTGCAAGCAGAACCCTTAGTCACCATGGGCAGTCTGGCGCGCTTGCTTCTGGTGGCCGGAGGCTTTCTGGCGATGCAGGAGCTTCTTCCGATAGGAATACTTGGAACGATCACTGGACAATTCTGGCTTGGCTACCGCCCAAAGCATGCTGCCTGCAGGACTACCTCAAGCTGCGCACTCAGCGCCTGTGTGTTTCGCCTTTTTTTGTGTCTGCAATGCAGCGGCCGCTTGAAGCGGTCTGCCTCATAATCCAGCCCCTCAACAGGCTCTGTTTAGAAGCTGGTAGACTGGCAGGATGACGAGACCCAGATACCATATTAGATAGGTGGCAACATCTGCACAAATCAATTTCCTCACGCCTTCCAAACTTTGCACCAATCTTTCCCATTGCAAAGGTCTCGAAATTTTCACCAGAGATGTGGGGATGTTCTGCCGTCACCTATGATACACTCAGGTTCTGCATCCGGCTTGTCGGCTGCAAAGTCTTCCAGGGCAACAGCATGTACCACGTGGAGGGGGTTGTAGCCGCAAGCTGAGAGAGTCTGTGGCCTGCGGAGTCACCTGAGTCTGTGGCCTGTGGAGTCACCTGACGTTGCTCTCTCACTTCTGTCGTGGTTTCTGAGGCTCTGCCTCAAGTCGGCATCCCTGTACATCTGCTGCGGCCATGCTCCGGTGAGTGCCCCAAAGGCTCTCGCTGCTAATTCGACATTGCGCCAAGCTTTCGTGAACTATGCCGGAAGTGTCCCCATCCGCAGATGCAGGTGACAACGGCTTTGCTCCTCATGTTCTGGCCTTGGGGGAGTGGCGCTTCGAGGACCTGGAGGCCCGGCCCTCCGACTCGGCAGAAGCCGATCCTCGAATGGCAAGTCCTCAGGAGTGTAGTGGTGCATCGAACGATTCTATCGAGCGGAATGAGGACCTTTGGTTTCGTTCTGACGACACTTCATTCGTGCTTGTTGGGCCTTCCGTCCAGGACGTGCAAGGTTTGGTGAGCGACTACAAGGAAGTGCCAGCCGAGGCATACTATCAGGGTGCTTGCTTTTGTTGGAGTTCAATTCTGCTGCGTCATTGCGGCTGCAAAAGGCGAAGGTGTGGAAAACATCGATGCTACAATTCGAGCCGGACGACGAGGCAGTCTGTTTCGTTCAGCTGGACTCGTGCAATGCAGTGCTTACGTCACAGGCACTGTACTTGGAGCTCCTCCGAATCGAGGCCAAGGCGAGATGCTTTCAGTGCGATGTCATGTTTGCACACTCCTGCACATCACGTGGCCGCTTCTTTACCTGCCGAGGCTGACGTGCGCGAGACGTTTGCAAAGCTCTGCGAGCAGTGCTGTGTGGCAGTGGTGTCGACCGAGGAAGGTTTCGCAGCATCTGAGTCGGCCAGCCGCTTCAGTTTGTTACACATTTGTTGCCATGCTGTGTGCGCCATTTGTGAATTCTTGCGAGGTTCCGGTCATGTCCGTTCCGTCATACAGTCCTAGGAACCTACACAGTACTTTATGCCGTCGAGTGTATTGGACTTCGCAGGACAACGAAATCGTCGATGCCATTGACGGCACCCCAGCAGTGCGGGTGATGAAGCGACTTTAACAGTTCGCGCTTATGTGGGGCCCGAATAGGTAAATGCAGTGGTGAATGCAATTCCTTCAAGTTAGAGTCCGGACTCCGGACTGCTGTCTAATAGACATGCACCACTCTGATTCTAGCAGACATGCACCACGCTAATTCAGCCATCTTGGCTGCACCTGAGGCGCAGTCCGTCGACGGCATGCTGCTGCATGAGGCAGCCGTTCCGCTGCCCTTGTCTCAGCTGCTTCAGCAGGCAGATCCAGGCGAGAGCAAAGATTCAATCAAGGCTTACGCAGTTTGGCTGGCGCCGCAGAGACATGGAGGAACAAGATGATGCCTCCTTCACTCTGCAGTGGGCTAAGCTAAGCTCCTGTCTACATGACTCTTCTACTCCGTCATCCTTCAAGCAATCACGGGAGCCCAGTTGGGATCCGCCAGACGCAGCTCCTGTCGACAACTTAGAAAAGCCGCATGAGGCATGATCTTGCTCTAGCAGGCTGAACCCCTGCGTTGCGACATTGCTGAGGTGCTTCCCGCATTCTTCCACTTGTCCATACGACCTCCTCCGTCATGGCTTCAGCTTGTCTTAGTTTTGTCTAGCCTGAGCTTTGTCATTGCACGCTCGAGGCCCGATCCGCCAGGACTGACGGAGCCTCAGAAATGGCTTATGGAGATCCCAGAAAACACTTCCTCAGCGTGCAAAGCGTATGGAAGTTCACCACTGTAAGCAGGCTAGACTTGCAGACATGCTCGAGAAGGCAACCAGGCCAAATTCACATCCGTCCAAACGCAGCTTTTGCGTGTCGTGTATCCATAAAAAGCTGCGCAGTAAAATCTGCGCCAAAGCCTGATTTTACATCGCTTTTACATGTGGGGGCGCGCTTAGGTTTTGGGCCGTGGAGCAGAGATCACAGTCGAAAAAACATCCCCACAGCATTTTGCGGCTTGTTTGGCAGGTTTGGCTTTAGCTGAAGAAAGGGCAATCAGGAGAAGGAGGGCCGTGAAATAGCAAGGCTCGACTGTCGGCAGCTCCTGCGAGAACGGGACAACAAGACTTGTTGCTTTTTTGTGGCTCCGGATGGTGGTCGTGTAGCACGACATTTACAGTCAAAGCGTGTTCCTGGGGAAGATTCTGTACTCTCTAAACATCCTCAGCCACTGGGTACTCGAGATGTTGAAACCCACAAAAACAGACTGGATTTAGCTGCTGACCCTCTGGCCGCATGCGAAGCAGAAGCTTCTACCGCGCCGAGGCGTAATGCACAGTTAAACGTCCCAAGCCTCCCGGTACAACAGCTCCATTCTTTCAAATTTTCCTTTCTACCCCATCGACTGCGGATGAAATTTTCAGAAGAGACATCTTAAAGGCATCCTCCGCGATTTGCCAGTATCTGGAATCCTCTGTTGCAGTGGGTCTCAGAGCTCTTCGAGCTTGACATTCTGTCGCTCACGACGACCTAGAGCAGATGGCACGCGAGCAGCATCAATCAGCGGCGACCAAGCTTTATCAAGACTTGGGATGCTTGTCGAACACCTGGAGGTAAGATGTGAAAGTTTGTCCTCCTTGTCTCAGGACACAGCTACTCAGGAGCACTGCCATGAAATCCATACCCCAAGTGAAGAAGCCAGGTTGAGATGCCGTCAAACTTGGCATGTAGAAGTCCGGCAAGCGGAACTGCTTGAGATTGATTCTGGAGACTGAGAAGAGCGCATGCATGCAAAACATGGACATCGTGTGATGCACGGCTATAGACTGCAGACTCGAGTGCAGCGGGATCGAAGAGATGACGGGAGAGGCTCTCATATCTCACCTGCGTGCTATGAGTGCCCAGCCTAGGACTGACACTGTGTGGTCAGCCCATTCCTCGGACGTGTCCTCGGTGCGGAGCCCGAACCAGCCGGAGCAGATTAGGTCATCATATCCTTTGATGCAGAGCTGCCCTTCGAACTGGTCGACGGCTTGGCGGCCAACGCCGACACTCAATCTGCACGGCATGTAGCTCCTTTGTGTGAGCAGTTAAGGTCTGGCAGTCAGTGGAGCGGCAGACTCGGCAAAGAACGTTACTGCACTTGCGGCAGATGCTATGTCACCTGGAAGCTTGCAGATGACCCAGGCTTGATGTGAAGAATGCGTTCACAAGCGTCTCCAATAAATGGTCTGAGTCATGCCGGCGAGCGTGGGTCAAAAATAGGGCCAAGATCATTGTTGTCCACGCACCGATGCCAGGATTGGTTGGCCTGGTGGAGAACAAGAGATGCTGGAAGTTGTGCACAAGGCCAGTCAACAAGTCCACAATCCATTGTGCTTTCGAAGCGCATCCTACAGGCTCCCCTAAAAATCCACGTTCATGTGTTTTATAAGTCGGTTTTTAGATGTCCATTTAGGATATATAATCAGTTATGCCTTAATTATTCCTGAGAGAAGTTAAGCGCTAAAACCCATGATTTTATGCACCCCGACCCACGAAAAACT